GTGCCACAAGGTTGGTGATATCTCTTCTTCAACAGCATTGAGACTCGGATGACACAACTTTGCATGAGTTTTATAAAGAGTACCACAAATATGGCCTCTTGCAACAACCAAGGAACCTTTAGATAACTTCCACGTACCTTCTTTGAATCGGTTAAGATATCCTTGCTGATCCAGAGCTGTACCGGAGATAAGATTCAATCTAAGATCTGGAACGTGTCGAACATCCTTCAACACAAGTGTGCATCCGACATTGGTTGTTATGTGCACATCACTCATGCCAACAATCTTTGAGAAACTCGTGTTTCCCATCTTCACAGCTCTAAAGTCTCCTGACTTATAAGATGTGAATAAGTTCTGGTGTGGAGTGGCATGAAAAGGTGCAGCTGTATCAATCACCCACCCAACATCATGAGTACCTACGTGTAAAGATTCTTGTTCACCATGTGTAACAAGACACGCGTCTGATGACAAACTAACCATGGTCTCACCATCCTTTTGGCTAGTATTTTGACTCATCTGTGGCTGCTCTCGTAGAAAGTTTCTACAATCTCTTTTTTGTGCCCGTAATTACCACAGTAATTGCAATATCCTTCAAATCAAGTATTGTTTTCAAAGGACATACCTCTCTCTTGTGATCTGCCACGAACGTGAGAGTTTCCTCTGTTTTGACCTTGGCCTCTACCTCGACCTCGACTTCTTCCTCCATTTCTGCCTCCCCCTCGTCTGTTGGTTTCTGACACGAAGACATATGATTGTTCAGTCCCGGCTTCTTTTCTTCGAGCTTCTTCGTTCATAAGGGCATCTGTGATCATCTGCATAGTCACCTTGCCATTGGGAGCAAAATTGCTGAGAGTGACAACAAGAGTCTCCTAGCTGTTAGGTAGAGAGCTCAACAGTAATATCGCCTGCTCCTCATCTTTGAGAACCCATCTGGTGGCGCTCAACTGATTCACAAGATCTTGGAATTGACTGGTGTGTTCTGACACCACAATACCTCCTCATAACTTGTGGTTTACTAATCTCCTCATTAGTAACGTCTTATTTCAGGCGGTTTTTGCTTGATACATGCTACCAAGCTTCTCCCATAGTGTGTAAGCACTTTGTTCTTGCGCAACATGGTGGAACACACTATGATCGATCCACTGCCGAATTTGTGCGACAGTTTTTCTATTCATTTTTGTCCATTCTTCATCCGTCTTTTTATCCGGTTTCACGCCATTATTATCAAGAGAATCAGCTAAATCCCTCAAATTTAGCAAATCCTCCATCCGAGGCTTCCACATATTGTGATTTGTGGAAATGAGCGCAATCATGGTGTCCGATGATGATTTATCCATAATAAAACGCTCAAAATATCTCGTACCTTATTTTTGGAGCCGAATTTGGACAAACGGAGCTCACCGTTGGATCCGGAATGGCCGAAAATGGTAGGAACGTGTCTGACCTCATCCAAAACCGGTCTGGAATTGGGTGAACCGGCCTCCATAACTACGAACCGGTTCAGTCCGGTTCAGGCAGCAGCCCAGTGGGCAGACCAGTCGGCGGATGACGTGGCAACAGCTGGAACTGCGCTAGCGCTGACGTGGCGCCATGTGGCCGCTGACGTGGTGGCAGGAGGACGAATAAGTGGATGACGTGGACGATGGCTCAGCACGACGTGGCGATGATGTGGGCTGACGTGGCTCGTCTTCTTCCTTTGGAGTGCGTGATGACATAGTGATGACACAGGCAGTTTTCAGGCGGCGTTTGGGCGGCGCGTACGGCCTCTTCCGGTGGCCAAAAAATTTCCCCAAAAATACCACATTTCTTGTCTTGACGAGACGAATCTAATGTTATGATCACATTGTGATTCTGAGCAATTTAAAAAATCACGATTTTCTAACATGTAGAAATTTATCTGAAAAATGAGAAAACAGTGTATGGAAACTCAACCTCGCCCTGATAGGCTGATACCACTTGTTGGGATTGGAAAATTCTTCTATTCAATATCAAAAACAGAATTACAATAGGATGAGCAAACTCTCACACTCAACTTCATCATGTCTCCCATATACACCTATAAATAGGGAGTGTATTGTTGTTTATTTGTATCGGTTTTAGAAAGTGAGAAAAGTGTGTGAAGAGTGAAATACACTTGGAGTAGAAGTGTATTGATGAGGATTGGTATGACTTAGGGTTTTTTGGAATGACGCAGAAGACGATTCCAGACGGGTAAAGAGACGCCTTTATAGGCGAATCAAATGAGCTGGATCAAATAAGGAGAACCGGACTGGACCAAGGAAATAATCAGGCCCAAACTCAGAAATAAACTGAAACGGGCCAGACCTAATTAAATTTCCTAACCTTGCTTTACCTTCCTAACTGTACATTATATTTTTGAGCATCTTATTCATTACGTCTAGTTTAGTCATACCGAATTTCAGCTAAAAAATCAATCGGGAAGACAGTCAAATGAATTTTTGAAGATTACTGCGCAGTTAAACAACGTAGTGTAGTTCCGAAAATCATTTGAGTGCCTTCCCGGTTGAATTTTTAGCTGAAATTTGGTATGACTAAACTAGACTTAATGAAGAAGATGCTCAAAAAAATTCATCAAAAAATTCCACCGAGAACCTCCCCAAATGACGATGATCGGACAGAACCTTCTACAAAAGGGCTTATATGCACTTTTTTTATTAGTTCGAGGGCTCATTTGCCCCTTCTCCCTTCATTATATCCCTCTTTGTATTTTGAACAATATTAATGCTAGAATGAATTAAGTTTTTCTGATAAAAAACATTGGGAGTGGTACTTTCGATGTGGTGCAACTTTAGTTTTTCACCATCTCTTTGTCCTTTACCGAAAGCTATTTAGTACCATATCTTCTACATACTCCGTCCGTACCTTAAAATTTTGACATCTTTCCTTTTTGGGACGTCCCAAAAAACTTTGTCACTTTTCCTTTTAACTAATTATTTTGTGATTCTAGTTATTTCGCTCTCATCTGCACAAATCTCAACCACATAGTTTTTACTTTATTATTTTTCGTGCCGAACAAACTTGACAAAGTTTTAAGGGAGGGAGGTAGTACTTTGGAAGATCCTCCATGATACATATCATGACCTCTAAATTGTGTTCTTTCCAGTAGCATGTATGTTCCTGAAACACCTTTTGAAGGTAGCCCATTGTTGTTTGGGATTTTCGATTGATTCATAGCGTAGACTTAGATCAATATTGTGGCTCCTAATAAACATTAGACCATTTGGAGTGGTGTATTAGGAGTCCAAAAGGTTAAAGATAAAATATTTGGACTCCTAATTTCATGTAGTGGTAGGCTAAGGATGTTTTTAGTTGAACTGTAATTCGTTCCAGACCAGACCAGACCAAACCAGATCAGACTTGTGGATGGTTATAAAAATAAAAAAAAACAGATCAGACCACATCAGTAAATTACAGTCCAAGTAAAAAACATCTTACATAGGGTATTAAAAATGGAAAAGGGGATGAAGGGTGTTAGAAATAGAGGGTGGGTTGATACGACTACTATAGGAGCAAAAAAAGGAAAAATGGGGAAGGGAGAGGCAGAGGGTGCATGGCAGGGATGTGAGGATGATGTTATCCTTGTGTCATTATAATCCCAATTTTTTTTTAAACTCTTATAACTTTTTTATTTGGTTTCCAAATTTTCCAAAAAGTATATAAAAATTCTTGAAATTTTATGATCTTTCATATGATGCTAATATGTAATATATAAAATGAAAACAAGTATTCTAAATTCTTAACTATTGGAGTTTTCTAAAGCCCGAAAAAAAAAATGAAACACAAAATTTTAATTTATGGAGCTTTTACAAAGGGAAAACTGTCAAATAGGTCCTCGAACTTTCATAAAAAGGTCAATTAAGTCCTTCTATGGAAGGTTTTGTCCGGACGTCGCGATTTGAGGCAGTGCCCGGTGGAATTTTTTGATGAAATTTTTTGAGCATCTTATTCACCAAGTCTAGTTTACTCATACCAAATTTCAGCTAAAACTTCAATTGGGAACACATTCAAATTAATTCTTGAAGATAACTGCGCATTTTTGCGTTCTCGAATTAATTTGAATGCAATCCCGATTAAATTTTTAGCTGAAATTTGGTATGAGTAAATTAGACTTGAGGAATAAGATGCTCAAAAAATTTCATCAAAAAATTCCACCGGGAACTGCCCCAAATCGCGACGACCGGACAGAGTCTCCTATAGAAGGACTTAATTGATTTTTTTATGAAAGTTCGAGGACCTATTTGACAGTTTTCCCCTTTTACAAATAACTGAATATCCCATAATCAACCTTTACTTGAAGTAAGTTCATTTTTTGTTAATCGAAGAATGTTAAAAAATTTAATGAACTTTATTTATTTTTACATCGAAATGTGTATTTTTTATTTCACAATTATTCAAGGAACAAATTAAATGAAAAACATTATTTATAATTAAATAAATGTTTTACTAAATTGATATGTAAAAAAAGTATGTTGAATTTATTTTATTGACGGTGCTGGAATGCATGAAAATATGAGTCTAAAAACTGTTTTCATATGGACGAAGTCCATTTTTGACATTTTGGCCTCCTCAGCACTACAAATGGTCTTAGGGCGCAAGTGTTTGTGTTTAAAAAAGGTGCATCATGTTTGAAATTTTCGGGGTCAATGTCTGATTTGTGCAAATCTATGTTTGTTCCGTTGCGTGGACTTGGCTTTGAGCACCGATTGGCTTCATTGAGAGGGTGCCAAGAATAAGTTTATTGAATGAACAAGTATATTAATTGTACTCCATTAGAAGTCTGTTTGATGACTTTGTTTTCAGCTTATCAACCCGTTTGGTATGATTCCTTCTTTATTTTAATTCAGCGGATTCAACTAAATCAGATTGAAACTCCATTTTAATTGAATAACCGATTTGGCAATATTTAATTTTGATCTGATGATTTACTGAATTTACAGAGTGAAAAGCCGTGACACTTGTATGGAGTAAGCAAAACATACCAAGAGGCTAGTGCAAAAAGCATTGCATATATCTTCTTCTGTTTATTGGGGAGAGATTCATCACGATTGCGGTAGATGCGTCGTCCATATATGCAAGCAATTATATGAGCCATCAGACCACAACCTCCTGCAACTAGCAAAGGTGTCCAAAAAATGATAACATCCATTCCCGCTGAACAATCACTTGAACTCGACGGATCCTTCACCGCATTCCTCACCTATACATATATTCCAAATCCGCCATTATTATATTATTATATTCATCCTATCCCACAACATAATTACATTGTTGATTGTTCTATATCTACGTACAAAATCAATACGGACGTACCTTCTTAGATTGAATTACTCCCCCCGCAATCTGCGAAGCTGTAGCGGCAACATCCAATACGCAGGCAAAAATAATATCCCCAAACATTTTATCAAGTGTTTGAGTAAATATGTTCTACTCAATTAATTTCTCTTCTATGCCTCTCGTTCGAGAGATTTATATACACAACCCAGCCGCACATTTCAGTTATTATTTCATACTCGATATACGTAATGGATTACGTAGTACGTTTTTGGTATATGATGGTAATATTGACGAGACATTTACAAAATAAAAGGTATCTTTTGTAAGGAACCAAATACTACCTCCGTTCTCTTTTAATTGCAACATTGAACTTTTTGCACTATTCACATATTCCACTTTGATTATATTTTATTAATTAATGTATTATAAATTAAATTTTTCAAAAATATTGTTAAATTCTTCTCATTCTAGATTTTCAAAATATGAATTTTTAAATTTTTTTACTAATAAGGAATGAAATATATTAATGGTCAAACTTGTGCGTTGGCAAACGTGAAATGTTGACTGTTTCGGATGTATTATTATGTTTCGGATGTTCGAAAGTTCTTTGACAAAAAAACAGAATGATATCCCACTCCATCTTATTGTGTTGGAAGGATATAATTAAATTCGACTTCAATCACAAGATAGCGAGTTAGGTTATGGCACAATAAAGTACTAGCAAAATTTTAAACAGATGCTTACTCCTGAAGGGTAGGGGTGGGAATAGGTCAGGCGGCTCCTACGGTCTAGCCTGTATAATAAACAAACTAGACTTGGGTTTTTTGAAAATCGAGTTTATTTGAATAGGTCATGCCTTAGTTGGTCTATTTATATGTGTCTTAACAGGCTAGCCTATTTATGTGTTTATATATACAAAGTATTTAGTTATACTTATATGTTTTTGTATTATTTATGGAGTATATTGGAAAATTGCAAACAATTTGTTGAGGTTTATTCTTTCAACCCTCGGGTCCAACACGTAAGCCCAAGAGTTTCGAGTTGAGTGTGTATGTGAATGAACTAGACCAACTAACGAGTAAAATGGATCAAGAAACAGTATGTAGCAAATAAGAGATTAGGTATCATTAATCAGTTAATAACTCCCCAATACAATATGCTTGCTAAGGCTCGCCGGACGTTCGTCTTACAAGGCAGTAGAAGAGCTGCGAGTAAGAGAAGTATAAGCTAGTGTGCTAAGAATAGTAAGTTGTCAACCCTTTACAATGAAATAAATGCTGCTATTTATACTACCAATGGGCAGTTGACTATGCTGACGTGGAAGGCGGTGTGTTGCTGGTGTCCCAACCACCAAATCTCCAGCATTTAATGCGTTTCCCGCCAGAATCTTGGTTTCCCGCCTAACCCGTGGCGACGGACGTCCAGTGGGGAAAGGGAGTTGCTCCTGGTGATATTGCAAAGGGTAATGGGCCGTACGTATCCTGGCCCTTAGAGGATTTGTCACATGGGTTGGATTGGCTCCAGGTGGCAGTGGCTTCTGGAGGTGACGTTCGTCGCCGTTGCGTTCGTCTGTGGATTTGATCCACTTGTCTTTGTACGGACGTTCGTCCGAGTGGGCTGCCCCGCCAGGGAAGACGTTCGTCTGGACGGGAGGTGAATGGGCCGGCCCCTATGTTGGGCCATTAACCCAACACAATTAATTTGACATTTACCCGGTCTGCTTTGAATGGTCCCTTATAATCCATAAAAACCCAACCTTTGTTAGGAATATTTATGGTGTCCAATCCTGATAAATATCTTTGTATTTGTGTAGCTATTTTGTCTAGATATTTTAGCCCATTGGGATCTTTCATTGCTATTATTATATTAGCTTTATTAGGAAATGTGCAAAGTGTCTATTGGGCCCAATCAATAAAAGAGCTCAATCATGATGCTTAGGTCACATCACACATTCCCTAGGCATATAAATATTGCCTTTAAGGGAATGTGCAAAGAGACTTTTTACACAGATTATTACGCGCATATCATTGTAGTGAGAGAGAGAGCCGATACTTCCCTTCTCGATACCCAACTCTGTATTTCTCGATCATTTTGGTATTGAATGGGTTAATCTGTTTCTTCTCTACTCTATATTTTGTATGATTGTTGGATGAAATAGGGACAACAACCTTTGTATAATATCTTCCTTCTTCGGTCCTGTGGTGAGTGGTGATATGTATCGGTTGTCTAAAGTTTTTAAATGAGTAAATCACCTATATATGAGCTAAATTCCCTCTTTCATTGACTAATGATGTCTGTTTGGATAAATTTATGCCTATAGCTTTTTGGCCTACCCAGCCCAGCCGCCACCATCCTCCTCCTCCAGCCACCTCCGTCGGCCATCGGCCATCGCCAAGCTGCCCTGTCTGCCGCCACCGGCCACCGTCGCCGACGGCCAATGTTGCCGGAATCCGACCAAAATTTTCATATTGGTTTTCTGCCAGTTTTATACCAGAAGACTCGCTGCTACTTCGTCACCAGCAGTCGCCACAGCCGGACTACCCTGCCACCTTATACTGCTCTTCCACCAACCATTGGCGGAGGAGGGGGGAGGCCACCCTGGGCCATGGCCCATTGCAAGTTGGCCTAGTCTCCATTAGGAACAGTAAAAAAAATCATTTTTAAGTAATGGCCCAGTGTATTAAAATATTGGCCCACTATCATTAAAACACTCCGGCCCAAATCTTATTCAACAAAAAGCCAACCGGCTAATAATTTTAACGGGGGAGAAGTGTTGCGTTTAACAAAGCTCAAACAAACAGGAGTATGAACAGAACTAGAAAAGCGGCTGTGAGCTTGTCCAGAGAAGAGTAAATTCATTGTAGCAACGCCGCTGGAGCCCATAGGTAGAAACGACCGCCATCTTCCATCTAGGTGTAACACCCCGGCCCCGTGGGACCCAAGGTAGTTACTCCGGACCAATAGTACTGTCCTCACAAACCACCACAAGCCTTTACCACGCACTTTGTCCTCACTCATGCGCGCCCTGAGAAACTTCCCAGAGGGTCACCCATCCCAAGACTACTCCCGTGCAAACACGCTTAACTTTGGAGTTCTTGGCTAATGAGCTCCCTTAAAAGGAGATGCACCTTGTTGGTATGAGTAGTACTATTAATCCATTTATATTAAATCTCAAGTGTTACAATCACCCCCACTTAGGATCGCAACGTCCTCGTTGCGCCCTTAAACCAATCTCAATCAAATCCCAGAATCTTTTCCCCTGCTAGGTGTCTGCCCGATATCCAACGGATCAACACACTGTCGCAGGGTTGCTTTGATACCACTTGTAACACCCCGGCCCCGTGGGACCCGAGGTAGTTACTCCGGACCAATAGTACTGTCCTCACAAACCACCACAAGCCTTTACCACGCACTTTGTGCTCACTCATGCGCGCCCTGAGAAACTTCCCAGGGGGTCACCCACCCCAAGACTACTCCCGTGCAAGCACGCTTAACTTTGGAGTTCTTGGCTAATGAGCTCCCTTAAAAGGAGATGCACCTTGTTGGTATGAGTAGTACTATTAATCCGTTTATATTAAATCTCTAGTGTTACACTAGGCAACTGGGATTCCGCCTTGTCTGCCATCAGCGCCTTTCTCCGGCTCTCTGCCATCCGTGCAAATCTGCAATTTTTAGGTATTTTTCTTACCCTAATTTCTTAAGTTAATAAATTACTAATTTATAATTAGTTTCTTATTTGGAGATTGTGTATTTGTGAATTACTAAGGCAGTAACTACCTCCGTATGAATGTATGATTTATGAGTGTATTTGAATTGGGCTCTTATATAAAAAAATAATTTACAAATTTTTATTAGTTCGTAGTTTACTAATTTGTAATTAGTTCGATTTGGGAAGTGGGATATTGTTTATTTGTAAATTGTTAATTGTGTTCCTAAATCAGTAATTCGTAATTTCAAATTAAGTATTTAAATTGTTTGTTTACTTTGGTTTTAGATTTACTAGCTATTACTTTGTATTATATACTAAAGTATTACATATTTTTATAGAAATTAATGACCACTCCAAAACAACCTTCCAAGAAAGTCAAAGTAGCCAAATCAACGCTGCATTCTTATTTTACCCCCACCGCTCCAACTACAAGTGTACAAACTGAGAACCTGATTTCGAATGAGCATGAAGAATCTTCTCATGTTCAGAATCAAGCATCTTCTGTGATTGAAATAGAACGGGATCCCGGTAAAAGAAGAAAAATATGTGATTGGCCTGTTAATAATAGAGATGAAGTTAGGCGGTTATATTTGGTGGCTGGGCCTTACCAACCAAAACTTCAGCGCTATCAAGGTCGAGAATATAAAGACAAAATTCGACGTTTTCAATTGAGAGGGAACTTGTTAGTACAATAGATATTGACTCCCTTATCGATGAATTTGCTAAAGTAAAAGATCGTAGAGTGCAATTGACTTGTTAGTTTGATGCACTAAATTTCTAGTAGTTTTGTTGTAAAAACATTTGTGATGCACTTGAACTTAATTTTATTACCACACTTATATTTAAGAATTTTTTAGTTCAAATCTGGCCCAACCCTTTATAGTGTCCTGGCTCCGCCCCTGCCACCAACAGACTGCCCCGGTTTCCACAGGGCACTAGAGGCCAATGCATTGATTAGAGGCAGATTGTACTTGTAATAATTTGCCACTGTAGCGACACTATTTGACATTGTAGCGATGCTGTTTGACACTGTAGCGACACTGTTTGATAATGATTTGTTTGTCAAATAAAGAAGTTAAAAAAGTAGGACAAACATTTTGGGACATCCATTTCGGGAAAGTAGGACAAACATTTAGGGACGGAGGGAGTATATATAAACAAATAACAAACATACGGAGTATATATTCTTTATTTTTATAATGAAAATAAAGACTCAACTTCATATTTTTAATATTAATAATTATCCTTCAATAATTTTCAAAATAATTTTTTATGTCAATATAAATACTCTTGGGGTTTTGACCCTAATATTATTAATAAATGGATGATTAACCAAAAAGTGACCTTTAACTTATTTTTCCGAAAAAGTGATTAAAATACTAACAGAATCGCTACAGTAACGGTTACAGTAACGGCGCTACAGTAACCGCTCTACAGTGACAATACTACAGTGACGTTGCTATAGTGACATTGCTACAGTGAAATTGTTACAGCGACACAACGAAAACATTTTTACAGTGACTCCATTCCACTGTGTTTACTGCCTGCCGACCGACCACAGTGATACTGTC